AAAGAATGGCTGCTATCAAGAAATCAACCAATAACAAATGGTGGCGTGGATGTGGAGAGAAAGGAACCCTTCTCCATTGCTGGTGGGAGTGCAGACTGGTGCAACCACTATAGAAGTCAATATGAAGATACCTCAAAGAACTAGGACTACAGGTCCCATTCGGCCCAGGTATCTCCCTGCTGGGTATCTTCCCAAAAGAATTAAAAGAATCATACCACAGCAATATATGTGCACCCATGTTTATAGAGGCACAGTTTGTAAAAGCTAAAGCTTGGAAACAACCCAATTGCCCATCAACTGGAGACTGGATAAAGAAGATGTGGTTTTTTTATAAAATGGAATACTACTCAGCCATAAAGAACCAGAAACTAGAGACATTTATAGCTAAATGGATGTATATTGAGGCCATACTCGCAAGTGAAATAAATAGGACACACATGTGTAAATACCGAATAGTTTCTCTAGTGTGAGAAACTGAGAATGTAATTAAGGATACACGTGGATGAAATGGCCTAATAACATATTTCTTGGACTGTGTTTCCATCGCATGTCATATGACTGTATCGAAATTTAAATTAGGGAGAAGCTTGGCTTATGTGGAGTCTGCTAGCTAACTGGAGTTTTTTTCCAGACCACTATTTGTTCATTGTTGGTTTGGGGGATCTTTCTGAAACAAATCACATCCTCTGGTGTCTTGTTGGTGCTTGAGATGTTTTTTTAAGTTATACGGAAAAATGTTTAAGTACTTTTCAGTTTTGTTTTGGTTGAGTTCTACTGTGTTTGAATATTATTGCAGGTTTTTTTCCCTTGCATTGTTCTTCTTTGAATGGTTTTAATTTCTGTATGTGTATGTGTTTGATAATAAAGTTATTTTTAAATTTAAAAAAACATATAAGAGTTATGCAAATAAGAACGGAAACAACTCAGAAATAAGCTGACAGACATCTCATCACTAAGAACCGCACAGTGACGGGTTCTTGGAGAGTTGTCAACCTTGATCCACAGCAAAGGCGCTTGGTCCACAAGGCCGCTGGAAGTCTGTCCTTGCTGTCCCTTGCTTTGTTCTCATCACACACCTAGGTGTTGTGACAGACAGACCTGAGCTGAGGGGCTGGTGTCATTGTCACTGGACCTTTACAGACAGCTGGACAGTGCGCAGGGGAGGGGTGACAGGGCTGCCCATGGTTCCACAGCAGCCGCAGCCTCTGAAAGAGGAGGCGTCTTGAGCGTGCAGAACCACCTCCGTGGTGAGCCACGGTGTGTGCAGGCTTTTGGTTGTTGTTTTTAAACAAGAGACAGAAAGAAACCATCCCAGATTCTGTCCTCTAAAGAAAGGGAAGGGGCAGTTCCCAGGGTCCCAGTGACCCCGCCCATCTGTGTCACCACGGGTGTGTGACAGCCTCCTGGGCTGTGGCCTGACCCCTGTGTCTAGGCCAGAGCATGGGGAAGAAGCTGCTGGGGTGACTTCTCACTGTGGTCTTGATTATTTTAAGTGAGGGCAGAGCCTCCTAGCAAACAGTGTGCTGTGTGCTCTGCCATTCCCGGCGCCTCCAGGAAGGCATGTTTGGGTTTCAAGATGGTTACCGCTTAATCCCTCACTTTCAGCAATTCTTCTCACCTCCACCCCCAGAGTCTGACTTTTTCTTCTTCTTCACCCCTCTGGTGTTTATTTTCCAGCCCCTCTTGAAGGACCGCCCACCTGACAGAGTTTACCAGCATGCATCAGCCCCTCCTCCCTTGCCTGCTTTTCCTTCTTCCCCACAAGTGTGTCATTACTGTCCCTCTGAGGAATACTCTCTGGTCCCCAAACTGCCCCCGCCACCAGGCCCTGGGTCTTCCTCACCGTCCCTGGTGAGCCTGGTCTGCTGAGCCACACAGTCTGCCCTCTGTTGCCTTAGGAATACAATCCAACTTACTCACACTTAATTCAGGTGCGCATTATTGTGAAAATAAAAGCTTCTTTTCCTCCTTTTAAAATTCCACAGAACAGGGCTGGATGCTGTTACAAGCTCAAGATGTACCCTTCCGGCGAACCTGCCCTCACGGTACTTCCTGTCGGAGAAAAGATACAAACAAAAAAGCTTAAAAAAGAAGAAAGAAATGAGGTGATAATTTAGTAATAAATAAATAAAAGGAAAGGAAAATCAGCTTGGGAATAAACATCAAACTAGAAGGAACATGTGAGCAAGAAATCACCATGCAGAGAAAAATAAGGAAAGAGAAATGAGGAAAGAAATCTGTGCTGTCTGGTTCATAATGAGATTGGAAGTCATCATTTTGCCCTAACAAGTGAAAAGCTGAACAAACAGGAAGTCCATAACTTTTTGTAGATTTGTCAGATAGTTAAAGTCCCCACCAACAAGAGGGTTCAAGGAATCACAACTCACCAGAGCAGAAATCCAGGGGCAGGAATCTGTAGGACCCAGCACCACCGTGGGATGAGTTAGTGGAGGTTCAATGGGCTCAGGCCTGAGAGTTACAGTTCCAGGAGGGCAGCTATTAGGGAGGGTGCCCACACTTGTGGGCCTCCAGGAGCTCCACCAAGTCATCCTAGCCAAGATAAGAAAAGAAAAATCCCCTGGCTCTCAATAGGAGAAGGAAAAACATTAATGTATAAGGGGAGAGGAAAGCAATGGTATAATTTTGAAATATTTCAGAACATTCTGATCATAACAAGGCCTGGCCTCAAACAAAACTATTTTACCAGAGCCTAACTGACTGGGGTTTTATTGGAGCCTAACAAACCTGGGGAAAGTAAATATCAAAATACAGCCCCCTCTAACCATCCAGTCCCACCTAAAAAAGTAAAGCTGAGCCGGAGATTTAGCTCAGTGGTTCCGGTGCCTGCCTTGCAAGCACAAGGACCTGAGTTCGATCCTTGATTAAAAAAAAAAAAAAAGAAGCTGAAAAGCAGCAGTGTAGTATGCAGCCCAAAGGCCCAGAGTCACTGAAAGACAGAGCCCTGATCACAGGTCTCTTCTGCTGCTTACCATCCTATCATCCATCACTACAGACCTACCTACCATACCTCCTTGCACCCAACATGTCAGGACTGGCTTCCAACAGCAACATTACAAGGTGTACTACATGGGGGCAGGGGGGGTGCTTATACGTCGGGAAGGTTGGAATTATCACCCCATGAATTCAGAGTAACTGTACCTTCATGTGCATAAGGAACTAATGGCAAAAGTAGACAACATGCAAGAACAGATGGGTAATATAAGCAGCAACAGAAATTCTAAGAAACAATAAGAACTGCTAGGAATCAAAAAATACCATAAAGAAATGAAGACCAGTATGGAGTGTTTTTGAAGGAATATAAATAAAAAACTGGTGAACATTCACAAATAGTGTTATTTCATGAACCCAATGTATTTTGGACCCTTAAATAAAATAGCTAAAAATCACAGCAATACTGTTATGTGTGGGTTATATGCCAATTCTGTTTGAAACATACTCCAGAAAAACAGCTGACCTGTTGTGATTATTAAAATACAGTATGTATTCAATTTTTATAGACTGGATATAATTTGTAATCAAGTATACTGTGTGTTATACTTTAAGCAATGCATCATTTATATCTGTTGTTAATCATTTATAAATGCATCATTTATATCTGTTGTTGTTATATTACCCATCTGTTGTTAAACTGTTGCTTCCAAGAATGTTAACTGTCAATTTAAAAGCACCCATCCTAAAAAAAAAAAAAAAAAAGAATTGAAGGCTGCCTTAGATTGTGATAGCCAACCCAACTCCATCTGGTGTCTCAATGCCATTTTGTACCTGTAAGTGAACAAAGCACCCAAAACCCTGCACCCTATGTGGCAGTAAACTTGCTGCAGTTGCAAGATGTTCTGTAGCTCACCTAGTGTGTGTGAAACTTCCTTGTGCCTCCCACTAGCCTGGCTTGATTCTGCTTCTGTAAGAATCCACTTGCTCTCACCTGAGCCCTCCCCAACTGAAAGCATAATTTAAAAAGAGAAATCAAACCACTTCCCATTGCCAAGGAAACTTTCTGGGCACTAGCCCCCCTCGGCCGCCGGCTATAATAAATGGGCTCAAATCTGGCACAGAGTGTGGTGCATCTCTATTGTTCGAACTCACTCATCCATAACAAGATGGGTTTATTAGTAAACTGGACATGACTGAGGAGAAACAATCCCTGAGCTTAATGATAAATCAATAGAAATGTTCAAATCTGAAAAGCAAAAAGATAAAAGACTGGGGAAATGGAACAGAATGTGCCAGAACTGTGGGACAACTACGAAAGGTACAATATATGTAGAATAAGGACACCAGAGGAGAAGAACCCATGAAAAAGAAACAGAAGAAACATTTGAAGCAATAATAACTGAGCATTTCCTCCAAATTAATGTCCAACACCACACCACAGACCCAGGAAGTTCAGAGAACACCAAGTAGAATAAATGCTCTCCTTCCCAAAAACTATACTTAGGCACATCATATTCAAGTTGCAGAAAGAATTGAGAGGAGAAAAAGCACCTTATAAACAATGAGAATTACTGTATACCCAACTCCTCAAAACCCATGCAAGCAAAAAGAAAGTACAATAGAATATTTAAAGTATTGTTGAGAGAAAAAAGAAAAACAATGACCTCGAATTCTCTATCCTGGAAATTATTTTTCAAAAGGAAAGGAAAAATAAAGACTTTCTCAGACAAACAAAAATTAAACCAGAAAATCTGCCTTGCAAGAAATGTTAAGAGAAGTTCTTCAGAGAGAAGGAAATAATACCGGTGACAATCTGGGATCTATATGAAGAAAAAAAGATCATCAGAGAATGGATAAGTAAAGATAAAATAAAATTTTTGAATTTTATTCTAATTGACTCAACAGATACTATTTGTTTAATATAATACTAACAATGTATTTGATAATTATAGCATTTCTATAAGTGAATGACAGCAATGATACAAAAGAAGGAAAAATACAAATGTGCAGTAATTGTGAAACACTTGCAGTATCCATGAAGTACTACAAATTTATTAGTACATGAATATGATTGGGTATAAATATACATTACAAACTGTAGAGCTACCACTAAAAATGTCTAATTAAAGCTGGGTATGGTGGTACATGCCTGTAATTTCAGCACTCTGGGAGGTTGAGGGAAGAGAATCAAAAGTTCAAACCCAGATTGGGCAATTTAGCAACTTAGTGAAACCTTGTTTCAAAATAAAAAAGAGGCTAGGATGTAGCTCAGTGAGAAAGCTCTGGATTCAATCCCCATTATTGCAAAAATAAATATCTTCTTAATATGCTATTGAAAAAGCTTCATGTGCTATGAAAACGCAAAGGAAATGGAATCATAAAATTTCAATTAAAACTACAAAGGGAAAAAATGAATGACAAAAATAGGAACAAAGAACAAAGGCAACAAATAGTACACACATTAACAAACAAAGTGAGTATTGGGGCTGGGGATTTAGCTCAGTGGTTCTGCCGCCTGACTCGAAAGTGCAAGGACCCAAGTTCGATCCCCAGTACCAAAAAAAAACACAAAAAAACAAAGTATTAGTCCAACCACAGCATCTTCCCTTAGACACCATTTCACTTTCTGTGGATTCAGTTACCCAGGGTCAACCAAAGTCCAAAAATATTAGTGAAAATTTCCAGAAATAAAGAATCTCCAAATTTTAAATTGTGCACTGCTCTGCGAAGTGTGATGAAATCTTGCACTGTCTCTCTCCATCCTGCCTAGGACATGAGTCATTCCTCTGTCTTCTGTATCCACACTGTATATACTACCCACCCATTAAGCACTTAATCTTCGTTTTCAGATTGACTGTGGCCATATTGCAGTGCCTATGTTCAGGCATGCAGGTCAATAGTAGTCTAACACCATGTTACAATGCTCACATCACTTACCTCACTTCATTTCACCACATAGGCATTCTATCATTTCACATTATCACAAGAAGGTTGAGCACAGGACAACAGAGAAGGAAAAGAGAGACTACATTCACATAACTTGTATTACAGTATATTATAATGTTATACTTTATAATTAGTTATTGTTAATCTCTTATTGTACCTGATTTATAAATATAATTTTATCATAGGGATGTATGTATAGGAAAAACATACACATAGGGTTTAGTGCTATCTGTATTTTCAATGTTCACTGAGGGTCTTGGAATATATCCTTCATGGGTAAGGGGGAACCACTGCATATCAATAATCATATTAAATATCAATGGTCTAAATACACCAATTAATGACAGAGATTTTCAGAGTGGATCAAAAACAAGACTGACTCAACTATATGTTATGTATAAGAAACCCATTTTAATATAAAGACACATAAAAGAATGGATAAGTTTGTGAATGATTTTCTGGATACAATATTAAAATCATATGGAACTAAGGCAAATATAGCTACATAGTACTACACCAGCTTTAAAACTCCTATGTACCAAAGAAACAACAAAAAAACAAAAGATTGGGAGCAAATATTTGCAAATCATTTATTTAATATGAAGAATTTTTATAACTCAACAACAACAACAATAAAACAATGTAAAATGGCCAAACGATTTGAATAGACATTTCTCCAAAGATTATATATAAATATCCACCAAGTATATGAAAAGATACCACCATCAACTAATCCTTAGAGAAATGCAAATCTAAACTGCAATTAGATAATATTTTGCACCACTTGGGATGTGTACTGTTGAAAAGAAGACAGTACCCAGGCATGGTGGTGAACACCTATAATCTCAGCACTCAACAGGCTGAGGCAGGAGGATCTCTGTGAGTTCAAGGCCAGCACTGGCTACATGGTGAGTTCAAGGTCAGTCTGAATTATAAAGTGAGATTCTGTTTCAAAAAAACAAGAACAGAAAATAACAAATACAGTTAAGAATGTGGAGAAACTGGAGCCTTGTACACTCTTGGTGGGAATGTAAAATGGTATAGCTACTATGGAAAACAGTATGGTGGGTCCTCCAAAAATTAAAAAATAGGCTTATCATGCAAACCTGCTTCCAGACATATATCCAAAAAATTGAAAGCAAGATCTTGAAGAGATATTTAAATAATCAGTTTCATAGCAGCATTATTCATAATAGCCAAGAGGTGGAAATAACCAAAATGTCCATCAATGAATGAAAGGATAAATAAATGAACTAGTCAAGATTGTTGAGATGGTAAAAGTGATTAAGTGGTTAAAACAATGAATTTTGGGCTGGAGATTTAGCTCAGCAGCACCACGCCTGCCTTGTAAGCCCAAGGTCCTGACTTTGATCTCTGGTACAAAAAAAAAAAGACTGAATTTTGCCAGGTGTGGTAGCACACACCTGTAATCCCAGCAGTTGGGAGGCTGAGGCAGGAGGATCGTCATGAGTTCAAACCCAGTCTGGACTACATAGTGAGTTTAAGGACAGCCTGAACTACCTAGCAAAACCCTGTCTCAAAAAACCAAACAACACACTGCACCTGCCTCACAAATGCAAGGTCCTAAGTTCAATTCCTGGTACAAAAAAAAAAAAAAAAAGCACTAAACTTAATGTTTTTATCAAAATTAAAAATAAATCAAAAGTAAAAGAATTGATAAAGATAAATCCTGCTAATATTAATGAAAAGAAAGCTAGAGAAGCTATATCATCAGACAGAATAAAATTTGGAAAAAGAAAAATTATCAAGACTAAAGAGGGGCATTACATAATGATGAAGGGGCCAATTCTCCAAAAAGACATAGCAATCTTTAATGTGTAAGCACCTAACAAAAGACCATCTAACTATATAAAGCAAAAAATGATAGAACTTCAAAAAGAAATAGATGAATCCACTAGTGTAGCTGAAGATTTAAAGACCCTTTTCTCAGTACTATACAGATCCAGCAAGCAGAAGATCAGTCAACACACAGTTTAACTCAACAGCATCATCAAAAAACTGAAAATAATTCTATAGAATATTCCATCCAACTGAATATGTATTATTCTCAAACTCATGGGATTTTCACTTAGGCCACACACTGGGCCATAAAATACACCTTAAATAATTTTTAGAAGTATAAATAATTCAGTATATGTTTTCAAACAACATGGAGATGACACATATATGAAGATTAAATAACATACATCTAAGTAATACATGAGTCAAAGAAGAATCTCAAGAGAAATTTTTAAATATTTTGGATTAAATGAAAATACAATTATCAAAATTTTGGGCTACAGTGAAAGCAGTGCTTAAAGAAAAATTTGTAGTGTTAATACTTATATTAGAAAAGAAATATCTAAAGCAATAATCTAAGCTTTCATCTTTCTCAGGAAATTAGAATAAGTTAAATCTGTCACAGGGAGAAGATAAGAAACCATTAAAATTAGAGCAGATATCAATGAAACTGAAAATAGGAGCTCAATAGAGAAACATCATTGAAACCGAAAGCTGGTTCTCTGAAGGATCAATAAAATTGATCAACCTATAAGGAAAAAGAGAGAAAACACAAATTGCTAATATCAGAAATGAAGGAGAAGACATCACCACAGATCTCATGGGCATTAAAAAGATAAAAAAAATTCTATGAACAATTACATGTCCACAAATCTGATAACCTAGAAGAAATGGATCAAGTCCCTGAAAGACAAAACGAAATTGATACAAGAAGAAATATACAATTTGAATACATCTAGATCTGTTAAATAAATTGAATCAACAATTAACAATCTGCCAAAGTAGAAACTACCAGGAACTTATGC